GCTATAATATACTATATATACGTAAATAAACAGAATAAACATATTATCTAAAAGAACGGAAGAACTATAAAATAAGTTATATATAGATAAAAAGGTAATTAGATAATAAAGTAATTATAATAATTACTCTAGGTAAGCGCTTATTAATATTTATTTAATAATTATTAATAAATAGAGTATATATAAATAAAGAATATATTTAAGCTGCGTAGCTTAGTAATATAATTTTAGGGAGTCTAAGCGTTTTAATTAATTTTTAACGCGTTTTCAAAAAAGGCATTTTAAATCCGCCTATAGTCGACGTTTTTTTACGCTTATATAATTAATAACTACGTAAATATAAAAATATATATCCTATAACCTCTTTAATAAAGAGCGGTTATATATAATTAATTAAAATAACGTTAATCCTTTATTTTATATATATATATATATATTATAAAATTCTATATCGTATACTAAACCTACGTAAGGTATAGTTATATAACTAGTACCTACGTAACTAGATTAATAATGTAATTAGTTATTATAGTTAGTTTATTAAATAAAGCTAAACCGGTTTAATTTAAAAGCGTTATTACCTAGATATAAATATAAAGTAATTATATAATATAAAATATAATATATAAAGGGTTAACCTAGGAGCTATTTATTTAAAAATCTATTAGTATTATATAAACGTACGCGCAATTAAATAAATAAAAGAGATAGTACGTAGATAAATATAAAAACCTATAATATAAAGGATATATTTAAAAACGAGACTTATATATAATATAGATTTAAACCGGGCTTAAAATAAACTTTTTATAGTTTTTTTAATAATTAACTATTATAAAGGTAAATTTATTTACCTTATTATTTACCTTATTCTCTATATTATATAAGTATATTATATATTATATTAATCTATAATTCTTATAGATTATTATAAGTATTTATTATATAAGTAATACTATTTATATATTACGGCTAGCTAGTTATAGTAAATATATTAATAGAAGTTAAGGCTACGAAGGCTAAATAAATAGTATCGTAGTCATAAATAGCTTTTTTAAAGCTATGTTTATAAATAATAAAATAAATAAGGCTTTAATAATTAATTATAGTTTTATTAAAAGGGGTTCTTAGTAAAAATAATTAAAAGTAATTATAAGATTTAATATTAAATTAATTATTAAAGAAGCTATAGGAAGTCTATTTTTAAGCCCGGCTTAAATCTATACTATATATAAGTCTCGTTTTTAAATATATCCTTTATAATATCTCTATTTATTATTATCTAACTATTTATTAAATAGTTATCTATCCTATTTATTTATAATTATATATTTTATTTATTTATAGGCGTCCGTTCTTTATTTTATTATATAATCGTAGTTATATAATTTATTTATAGTTTTTTTATTCTGAGAAGAGTTATTTTAAGTCCACTACTTTTATATATATAGTATAGTAGCCGCTATAGGTCTTATAGGGCAGGCCCTAGCTTTATTATGCGTATTAGGTCGTAATATTATATAAGCTTACGTAAGCTATAAAAAGTATTAAAAAGTAACGGAATACTCTAGAATTTACTCGAAGTAGTATTATATACTACGATTACGTATTTACTTATATATATATTTATTAATTATATTATAATTAATAAATAATAGAATATTCTAATAGGAGGTTTTATACCTATATAAAGGCATCTTTTTACTTACTTAGACCTTTTATTAAATAAATAACTTCTTATATAGTAATCTAATTATATTACTCTTTTTAAATATATAAACTTTATTTATTACGCTTATTACCCCTTATATTTATATATTTTTATTTCTATATAAATATTTACTTTATTTACTCTTTTATAAAAATAACTTTTATAACCTCGTTATAAGCTACTGTACTAGATAATTACTATACTATATATATAAAAATAATAGATCTAAAATAACTCTTTTTAAAATAAAAAAATTATAAAATAAATTATATAATTATAATTATATAATAAAATAAAGAACGGACATTTATAAATAAATAGAACGAACCATTCTAAATAAATAAAATAAATAACTATTTAGTAAATAGTTAAATAATAATAAATAAAAATATTATAAAGGATATATTTAAAACCGAGACTTATATATAGTATATATTTAAGCCGGGTTTAAAATAAACTTTTTATAGCTTTTTTAATAATTAATTTAATATTAAGTTTTATAATTACTTTTAGCTATTTTTATTAAAAATCCCTTTTAATAAAGACTATAATTAATTATTAAAGCTTTATTTATTTTATAATTTATAAATATAATTTTTAAAAAGCTATTTATAATTATAATACTATTTATTTAGCTTTTATAGCTTTAACTTTCATTAATATATTTACTATAACCAGCTAACTATAATATCTAAATTTATATAAACGGACCTTTTATTTATTTATATTTAAAAAGAGATTGCGGGCTCTATTTATAATTTTCCTTTTCTATATATGTATAATAGATCTACTTCAACTATTAACCTTGTCGCGACCGAAAGGTTTTACTTACCTACTTATATACTAATAACTCCCTTTACTAGTGCGCCGCATCGCCGCTAAAGAGAAAATATAGGAACGATATAATAGAAGCTACTTAAAATTATAAAGTACTGAGACACGGGCTTAGTTAGGAGCCGCCGGTTTCATCTCAGCAACATTTCCATTCGAAAATTCCTCTTCAAAACACAGCGTCTAGACACCGAAAAACTAGCCGCAACACTACTATAAACCGAAACAATAATGTTTTTTTTTTCGTCTCGCCTCGACCAAAGATACAGCAGCGCCCAGTCAGCAGCGAGAAAGCCTAGAAAGCTTGGAAGGGCTCGCTGTCTAAGCCAGATCTTCGAGATGGCATGCGTGGTGACCCAGTCTGTGTGGAACGTATACAGGTTAAAAAGTCCATCAATGTCACCGCAAACACCTGATTGGCGACCCGGACGGAATACTTTACGCACCCCATTAATTATCCAAATGTGGGCAGGTTAGCCCCACGCGTGTGGCCTGGATGGTGCTGGACGGTAGACTTGAGCGGCCCTGCATCTACTTTGCGAAAAGAAGGACCAGCGAAGAGGAGTAGCAACTTTAACAGTAAAACCCCCAGAAATGCCACCCAAGGGGAAGTCACGGCACGCAAAAATCGCGGACTACTCGACTCCCGGCAAAGGACTTCACACGCGAGCAATTCGAAACCAAGAATAGCGATTGCCTTCCCATAACCTAGTGACATCTCCACGGGGTGCATCGCTTTGCGCTTTAGCATCAAGTCGCGTCGCTTTAAAAAGGCAGGAGCTCGCCCGGTCAGCAAGTAGTCTATCGTGCCGTATATAATTTGCTGCTCTTAATTGCGAGCACACGTCAATGTCTACAGGAGACCGTCGTGGCATTACCATTTGTCTGGCAACAAATTGCACGAAATGTAGATCAGGGGTTTCCCGCAGCATTGTTTACTGTGTATGATGTTAAAACCCAAATTTCAGTCGCTTTCTCCCAAGTCCCTACGTCACCATAAGATACAAGGATGTTTATCCACCCAATACCTAATCCACTTTCACCGTGGTAGTTTACGGATAGATCCATTCCACTTGGCGTAACGATCCACCAGTCCCAGTCGTCGAAGACATCTTGGTAATACCGCACGGAAACATGCACTAGGAGTGAAATTAGCTCAGCATTTCCAGCTTTGCATCATTCAGAACCAACCTCAAGCCTTCTTTGCCGCCCGGGCACGCGCCATGCGTGCCACTCTCGCTGCTTTGAGCTTCTCCCTCTTCTCCTTATTGGCGACCCTGACAGCACGCGCGTGAGCGGCTCGAGCTTGCTTTGCCTGCTGAAGATCGTCTGCGGTACCAGACATATTGGCGAATGCTGTGTTATGATGATGAATGAGAGTTGTTTGTTGAATTGGTGTAGGGAGGAGAAACGCTTGACGCGTCGTAACGCCTCGACGCGTCAACTTGAGTAGCCCCGGCTCACGGACCCCCCTCAGCCCTTGCTGACTCGGCCTTAGCCGGAGTTTCAACCGCGCCACACCTCTCCCGCCATACCTACCGGCCATCTTCCATGATAAAGTAGACGGAGAGGCGCGGCGTGGGTTATGCCGACCGGGGGGGTTAATGTGGATTTTTGCATGGTGCAGCCTCTGGGGATCCGGCCCCTCAAACGCACGCAAATTCCAGAATTGTGCCGCAGGAGAATAACCGGAGTCATTTCCGAGTCTCGCATCACCAAGCCTTTGCATATATTCTGCTCAGCTCATTCTATACAATTCTCGTCCTGTTACACAGCATGGATGGCTGTTTGGCCTAAGAACCCAGCCGGAAGCTGGCTTAAAGAACAGGATCCCAATCTCACAAGCAAGATTGGAGAACGACTTAGAGTTGAACGATGTGAAAAGCTGAGAACTGTCAACTAATAGTTAACTAATAGTTGCGGCCGTGCGAATAGAGCGGCTGCTCGAGGGTTTGGCGGTCTCGCTTTCTATCCAGAATTTCCTAGGCTTTTAACTGTCAAAAGTCCGACGGTCAAATCAGTCAAGTTCACTGTCTACGGCACATGCGGCATTCATGATGTGTCCCCGCTCGGAAGCCGGGTTTACGCCACCAGAGTCCAGGGCCAGTAACTTTCGGAAATCGAATCGAGATTCGGATCGGGATTTCCCATAGTTTTCCGTAAGGAACCACCAACCATTAGTAGTCTAGTATTATCTTGGACAGCGTCGTTCAAATTCATTCACCTAGACTAGCCAAGACTACACCCCATCCAATAAGTCGTCGATTGTGTTCACACGGGCCGTCACTTGAGCTGAACCCATTAACGGGAGGAGTCCCAGATTTCACTTGGAGCACTTAGATCAGGCAAGCCGTGAATGAATGTGTGCAGGCTCAGCGGCACACATTCAAGCATGGTTTCACCGATGAGGGTAAACCATGTATTATGGCTTGGGCACACGCATGGAAAAGTATCATTTGCCCATCGGCTTCCGTCTGCTCTAAACACCTGAACATACCACTTCTCCAATGCTTGAATTTTAGACCTTGGGTATCACTATCCAACTAATATTTTCCACACTTGACCCTTCTCGTCAACCACTTGACGTCGCTTGGACTGTCGTCGAACGTGTCGGCCCACCGCTGATTGACGAGATTGGCATTCTATCCGAAAAGTCGCCGTCGTAAGATGACGCGGTCGACTTCAGACGGAAGTCCCGAGGTTCTGAAATAACCTCAAACTCTCTTGTGACCCAGATCTTACTCAAGGCTCTCTGCGTGACTGGCCAAACAATCGGTATAGACGCGCAGACTGTTGCCAAATTCACTTCGACTGTTGCAAGTACGGCAGGCACACAGCCATACCAAGACGGATCGAGCGTGGGATATGTGCCTGCGGCTGTGTTGACGATGGAGACGAGACGACTGACGCCAATGGCAACGACACTATCGAGAAGATTAGCCACGTTCAAGTTAGGGAAGCTGACCGTCACTGCGTGGAGTCTTTGGAGGGACCTACATGTCTCCGAGAACAAAAAGAAAAACGACGCCGTAAATAGACCTCTTTTGAGCCGCGTGTTGCCAGGCCCAATGAAGCGGTAGACCGCACACCAGCACGTCGAGCACCATGTTCGTTGCAACATGGCTAACGTACGTCCTCCTGTAGATTCCAAGATCTGAAGAGCCGAACCCCCAGCGTGCTGTGGCCGGTTGCGTGAGTTCCCATTGAGACGAGACGGGGTCGCATGGAAACCAGGCGATGGTAGAGTACGCCAGACCCCACATCGCCGTGACGACGGCAACGATCATGGTCAGTCTAAATGACAGTGACCCGAACTCAAACATTGTAAGATACTGAGAGAGCAAGGCGAGTTTGATAAAAGTTGTGGCCATACAATACGCCGCGTTGCAGATGTAGAATATCTACCAAATGTCAGTATCCGCGCTTCATGTTTCTTATCATCAAGACTAACCTTTATGAATGCTTCCATACCAATCAGGCCAAGGCCCGCGAAATGCTTACCCAAACCATTGGAAAGAGCTTGAGAATCGTGTCAGATCACATCCGTCGCCTTAATTTGGGATCCATTGGGCTTACCTATGCACGTTGCTATAGACAGCAAGGTGGTTGTCATCTAGGAAAGAATAAGATAGACATGTCAGCATAAGGAGATGGAGACACTAAACTCCCTGAAGCTTATCAACAACTCACCAACACTATTATGAGGAAACCATCGTCCCAGCCAGGCCGATGGACCACGCAAAACCGGATGTATAAGCGGGCTAGACCACACAAGTACGCGAGAATCTGTAAATAAGCGTCAGATACCTCATGTTCGTCTTCAAGCAGTCTTTAAGCAATCTTCAAGCACAATGAAGATGTTGAGAAGAGGACGGCAGCATGGGTGGCATACCAGGAATACAATGATGATACCCAGCGCAGCTGGCTGACGATTAAGCAACGGAGTTTCGTCGTGGGCGGTTTCCATCGTTGTAAACACCACCGTAGCTTGTAGAAACAAGACAATATTAAGAGAATATCAATCCACAAGATGATGAGGTCAAGTGTGCAGTCAGCCTGCGAAGTCTAGCCCTTCCAAGAAACAAACATCTTCCCTGGAAGCGACTACGGAAGCCAGGAAAAATGCCAGGTAAGAGGGAAACCCTTTTATCTAACATTGCAAGAATTGCGGTTAATGCTCTGAACCATCCCTGTCACAATGACAATCCGCCGATGATTTAAACTCCAGCTTTTGTTTCGAGTAGTTCCACACAAAGTTTATCCCGATCATTAGCCCAGTTTGGGGGTTTGGTCGTTTCACCATTAGCTTTGGCATGCCAGCCCTGCGCGTGCATCACGGCCCTTGAACTATGCCTAGCCGAACCATTGGGCATTCGGACGTTGCATCGGCATACAGAAGGGTCGGTCTCCGACAAGCTCATTCTCTGGCTCACGCATTCTATGAGACAAGCCTGTAGCTAATGGTCTTGAATCTGGTCCAGGCTAGGGTAATTTCCACACCATGGTAACATCGTGGAAATTATTCTTCTGCAGTGTAACGTTGATGTCTTCATAGCTCCGGCTGATCCGCCTGCTTCAGGAGTCGCACCGTAATATAACCATCGGGGCTTCTCATCAATGAAAACCACCTGACAGCCTCAACTAAGCGAGATCAAGAACACCTAGTAGCCTTATGCCGCCCAAGATCTCTGGTATGATGTGATGAGAACTCGGAAGCGTGTGTCCAATTACGTCTTTGCCACGATGCTGCGGCACAAGCGAGGGAGGACCAGATTGTGAGCTGTGGTGAGGATGATTCTGTCTGTGGGATCTTTCATCCAGGGCCCGACAATGAACCCGCGTGGATCCACGTTGTTGCGCTTGGTCTTTCGTTGCTTCGACTGACACTTACGAGCCGTTGCGGCCCGGTCCTGCGTGGCGACATCACGGTTCCGTGTTCAGGTCAAGGGATGAGCTAGGTGCCACAGCTCTTAGCCCTTGCAAAAACCATCAAATGCTGCAGGGCAACATGCCCCGCAAAAATGCGAGGGGTTGACTTCATGTCGAATCTCGCTTGAGTCTCCGCATAATGACAAGTGTCGCACTGAGCAACGCACCGCTCTCTTTCATGGCTGCAGGCCAATATTTCTAACCATAAACTCTGGGTTGGAGTGTCGCAAGGCACTGGCCCTGCAGTCTGAAGATATCAAGGGGGGTTTGCCAGAAATACATTCCAACGTCGTAATTAGTGTCGAAGTGAGATAATGTACCCCCTAGACCAAATGGATTAAAAACTTTGGTTAGGAGGACCGGGCTACGAGCGGGCGGGACCGAAGCCTGTGGGCAGAGGCGGAGCCGAAAGGCGGCTTGAGCGCGTCCTAAGCCACTTGCTTTGAACCTCCGAAGGAGGAGTAGATCGCCGTGCGAACATCGGGATGTGCCAAAAGTAGTAGTGGATGGGCACTGATTCAATCCCACGATTTGATAATCACAGCAAATTGACAGACGACAGGCTCAGAAGAACCTGTGATCTATTCGAAAGCTTCAGGCATGTGTTTTCAAGGGTGTAGATTTTGTGATTTGCCTACCTTAGAATGGAAAACACGTGCATATCGCGTTGAGCGAAGTATTAATGCACACTGGGAACATCGAACCGATACCTGATCGCCACGATTGTTGAAAGTTAAATGCACGTATCCAACATTCTCTTCGAAATAAGCATAAATTGTGCGTTTCATTGTTTGAACCATGAAGTCCCCGAAAACTGTGTATGTGTGCTGTGCACGGCTTGCTTGCAATTAAGTTACGATGCCATTCAGAGATGCCTGGTTAATGTTTTGTCTCAATGATGAGATTATCAACTCGGAAATGATCACTAAATCTTAATTCACCAATATTACAGGTCAACACTGCGTTGTCAGTGCGGATTGCTGCCTGAGAGCTTCCACAAGTCTTTCCCGGATAGCCGAAAAACAACTCACGGACAGCGAAACTCTCATATTGCACGAAGCACGTGGTTTATTGTGCATGTGATGGTTGAACTAGACTAGGCATGGATCCCAGGAGACCTTATGTGCTTAAGTCAAGTAGATCAGTGCTCTTACAGGATACTGGATCCTTCCCGTTGTATTGTCTTCCGGGTTGTTACTTCAGGGTAATGCCAACGATAGCTCCATGTGTTCTACAATTTTCCCCGAAACCAAATTTGCCCCAACGAACTTGTCTGAAGTCAGCTGTACCGGAGCTGAAACGGATCAGCAAGCTAGATCTCTGTTGTTTCGCGGACTTACCCAATGAGTGCTCAGATCTGGGGTCTGAACGGTTCTACACAAGAGGTTGAGTTGGGTCTTGGGCTGTGTCTTGGGCTGGCAGGTCTTGGCCCCAACCTCTCCCCACGTTGCTCTCCACCTCACCTAGTACCCTTGCAGCCTTATCAGGTACAGCGCCTTGGCATCTTCTAGCTTTCTTGCCTGGACCCTGCATTGAGCATGTTGAACCGTGGCCTCGCGCAATCATACCCATACTTCGCCTCTCGCCATCCCGCTTCTCTTCGGACCCCCCAGTACACAGTTCACTTGCCCGGTTATCGTAAAACCACTCCTTGGAAGGCGTATGCATCATATCTTGACATTGCGATCACCCAAAAGCTTTTTGCCAATATCTTAAGCGACATCACGAGGCTTATATCATGTCGCTCATTAGCGGCATAAATGACATTAAGCACGAAGACCACTCCTCAAAACGGTCATTGCCGACGCGACAAGTCTCAATCTCTGGACGGATCCAAAGATGATCCACGGCTGGCTGATCACGCATTTTGGAACTGTAGCCATTCTTCGACCAGGATCCAAAAGCTCCGCAAACGCAATCTTAGCCTATGCAAGGAACGCTCGCTGCACGTTGATCGATGCTGAAAACTTTTAGCGGCGAAATCCTTACTTTCTCAATGTGGACCTCAAAAGCCACCTCCAAACGCCAGCGTAACATTATTTCGACAACCGCTGAAGCTGGGCCTGACGGTTTCAGGAGCTTCAGTGTGTTTGCCCGAGTTGTTTGTGGTGATAGTGGACGTCTAATCTACCTCTCAGGTACCTGCACTAGGGCGGAGTACTCTGCTTACCTTCGTACCTGCCGTCGCAGTGACGGAGGCGACGATTGATAGCATAAGGCGTTCGGATCTGGGTGAGAAATCTTGCGGAAGGACAAGTAGTCGGGCTCTTGGTTGGTATGCTGGGCACCTTGGACATCACCCATCTACTAAATACAATTGTGCGAACAGTCTCTGCGGGCCTTCTTTTAGAAATTGAGCTTATTTTCCGACTTCATTATTTATCTTACTGAACTCTAGGTTCTGTCAATTCACTTCATGTTAACATACTCCGTACCAATCTACCTTGTATTAACCCAAACTTGTACCAATATTATTAAGTTTGAAATAGTACGCTGTGCCTGTGGCAATCGAGGGAGCTAGCCGGGCAATCTTGTTGTTATTTTGGGAAGTCTGTACATGCTCGGAAACTCCTTCGACTAATTGGAGCTAAATCCTGACTTCTGGATGGAGAAGTTGATGCCATTTATTATCGCGGTGTATAATGTCAGATTGACGTTGCAATTCAGGATCTGGGTTTGGTTACTCCTGCCGTGCATCGCATTTATGAGCTCCCAGTTTGCAATCGTGAGGTCGAGCTACTCGCGGGAAAAATTCATGTGATAATTCAATGGAGGGTTTTCTGCCAAGAGCCTGGCTGTGTTGGTTGAATCAAAAATGAGGGCGTCTTACTTTAACCGTCTTCTAGCTACAATGTCAGGGTAACCCGGGTAGTTTGTTGAAAGCGGCTACTCCCTTGGCTTCCTTGTCTAAATCTATTTTTCATCCCACTTTGCTTCCACGATTCCAGCACAGTACTCAACCCCGATCGGTGATAAAGCTCGAGTGAGGGAGCAATGCCATTTGACAAAATTGCCAAATCAAGGGAGAAGCTAATGGAGAGACATCTTACCTGAAGTGGATTAATCAGAGACACTCAGACCTAAAAGAGAAACAAGCCAAGCAGACAGAGTAGAAGATTGTAGTCACTCATACTTAACTATCCTACTTTTGGAAGGCATTTTTACAAGGGGTGCACCTTCCCGCCGACTTTGGGCGCATCCTCTTGTCCCTTTCTCGGGTAGTATGTGCGCAGCGCGGCTACTTGAACTTTCTCCGTCCTCATTTCCATCTTGCTGACCAATGCTTCCCTCTGACCCTTTCCAACACCTCTACAAAGGGAAATTGCCGAAAAGACGCCACTGGTCGAATCCGAGTTCAGGTTCCTTTCCTAGTGGCAAATTCAATTTGGTCACCAGTCAAGCCACGAACTCTATCGGAATACACTGTCGCTCAGAATCCAGCACCCGAAACCAACATCACTATTAGATGAGCCTCCGCCAGTATGAACCGCGCTCCCATCATCGTACCCATTTGGGAGCCTGTAGCGCCGATCAGCCTCCAGAGATTTCCAATCACAGTTCCCATCTGGCAGTCAACGCCTGTTCCGTCAAATAAGCCATATCAGCATAGTCAGATAAACGCCGAACATATCGCAGACATCGCCGGGAAACTTTGCCAAGCGGCGCGATCGCCTAGAGTGGTAGACGTCACCTACTACGTGGGTCTATGGGAGGAATTGCACGACTGTCATTGGAATTACATGCGTAGGCAAAACACAGAGGAGTCGATTCAATGCTGGCCGGAATACATTAAGGCCAAGTTCGGGAACAGAACTGACGCCGTCTTGGAAATGATCTACCGAGATCATGTTAACGCAGTCAAATCAAGCTCAGAATGGAAGCTCTTAATAAGGTTCGACCGAGTTCGTGGCTGGCTCGGCCTTAGTGGACCTTCCATGTTTCTTCAACTTGGCCCAGAAGTCGCGATTTCCTCAAAGGCCCTCAAGATAATCCTGAAGCTTCTCAACCACCCCAATGCGCCGAACTTCTCAGGTGCCGAGATTCTGGCTGAAATGTACCACGTCATGATGCAACGAAACAAAATGTCAGACACATCAACTTACCCGGCACTTCGAGACGTACAACAGGCCCAAGGTATCTTGTGAATTAACTCTCAATGGTCGTTATGCAAAAGACTAACAAAATCCCAGCCGTGATCCTTCGACACTATCGCTCATAGCCACAGGGAGCTGTTCAAGATGAGTAGGCTGGGGTAGGACAGTCACTCGAGGAGACGGAGGAGGTTTGGAATTTCCTGAGTCATCGAATAGCCTTTGGACTCGATCAGAGAGCCAAAAGAAACCAAGTCGGAAGTAACGAGGCCAAGCTGGACCAAAAATAGTTTGTATGCGAGATTTACCGAGATTTAAGCCTAACATGGTCCCCCAACGAGACGTGCACATGCGAGTGTTGTAAATATATTGAGAATCTAGACTGCATCTGTCACTATAACATTCTACTGATGAGTGATAAAGGTTGCTTGAGTACTTAGACTAAGAACTCAGTAGATTCCTGGTCAGATAAGATCACAAGCCTACCAAGCACTGAGCTAACTTTGATTCTCAGTCGTGTCTCTACATAGTGCGATCACACCTTGATCGCGGCATCTCCTGCCAGTCTCCTCGATACATCTTGTGAAAGGTATATCACATGAACTCGTAAGCCAAGAATACGAAAGCAATCTTATTCCCATCAAGTATCCTCACTTTGGGAGGGTTGCCGCTATATGTGGAAAAGGAGGTTTCTCTCATCTTGAGCCTAGAGGAGGTTCCAGGAAGTTCACGACACAATTTCTTCATAAGAAGGATAAATATAAAACAGCATACAATAGACGAGGGTTTTTACTCTTGCATCTGATCGCAGACTATACAAAATCAAGAGTCAACAGTGTGTCGGATACATGTATCCCGCAGATCTTTAACACTATGTATATGAACCTGCCGTTTTCATTTTCATTACTAAGCATTAATTGTTGCTTGAAACGCGGAAACAAGCTTTGAACCCGTATTCAATAACTCTCCTAAGTAGTCATGAGATGTTCTATAATATTAAAACTGTAATGAAGGATTGAAAAGGAGATTTTTAAACCTCAGGCTTTTCTTTCAAACTGTTTTCTTATTCGAGAAACAAACAAGACATAGAGTTTGTGATGTGATTGATACTTACGAAAGCCATAGCTCTGAGATTAGACTTGTGTTATGATTAAGCCCTCAAAAAGCAACTCACAAGAAGTTGGAACGACGAGTATGAAGCTAATAGTGCAATTTGAAGATGTCGTGCTCGTTTTCATCGCTATAGCTGATTACAATCTAGTGATGCGAAAAGTCCATCCGGAGAATAGAAGTTTTGAAGCGAGCCAACTCGCTTAGATTACGCTGACTTCAGAGACAGCGTAATATTGACTCTTTCTTGATCCATAGGAATTTCCATCCACCGCGGGCGACCTTAACGTTATTGCCACTGTACTCCCAGGATACCTGTGCCGAATCCGTCCAGACAGTAGCGTTCATCGCCTTTGGAGCGTCTATAAGCTGAGACAATGTCATAGAGATGGACTTGACATTGACATTATAAACAATCGCTCAATGACACCCACATCAACCGTGATCAAGACTGCCAGGGGACCGATGAAGACCGTCTTCCTGACAGGGTCGCGAGGTTCAACCATAACGTTCGATCCATCGATTGAAATTTTTCCACCATAAGCAACGAGACCGACTTGCTCATCTTCGGCCACGTATGTTCCAGAGCTAAGTGCCATTCCAAGGAATCCCGGGCCGTAGTCGGCAGTGAAACCATCCCATTGCAAGGTGTCGGGGAACGAATGGAAACTGGCGCTCGGACAACCGGCTTCATTGATGTTCGAAAGAGGAGCAAAGCTTCCGCCATGACCGGTGCGTAGAAGATAGGAGTCGGAAGGGTCGTCGCGAAATGCCGAGAGTTAGACCTGGGAGTTTAAAGCGGAACCGTAGTGATGTATCTGGCGTTCAAGCCTTCGCACCTTTCCGGCAATACTGAAGTCGTGGCATTAGATCCGATTCCATGTAGCTGCGGAAAGTTGGAACCCTAGCGATGGGGAAACTTACTCAAAATCCCAGTATCGAGGAGCGTTACCATTTCAGCCCCAGTGTGGAACATTAGGAGTGAAGCCAAGTACGGTGTCAACTGCTCGTTTTGCTAAATCTTTAAAACCGAAATGTCTGCAGGAAAAGTGTTAGTTGGGCCAGGGCCGTACGTGTTTGGAGTAAATTTTACAATCTTACCTCGCCCATTGGTAGACGCCCTCTTGGGCAGTGGGGTCCCAGGCCATTTCACTCCCGAATGGGGCGTCAACAGAGTCCCAATGCTCGACGCGAGTCTTCATAAGCACTTCCAGAGTAGCTGCTTCATCATTGAACCCTTCACGGAGTAGATCAGTCATGATGACGCTCCACACGGTCTCCCATCAAGCCCATCTCCACCCACGCAACACCGCCACCTGAAATGCGGAGCGCCGTCCGGTAGGCTTTTCGAGATACCAGGTCCAGTCTTGGCTGACCAGCTCCGGGTAGGCTCGCCCAACTCTGTAAAGGGACCATTATGCCGCCGAGGGGGGAACATAGTTATAGGCTCTGTCGGTCGCGTATGACCGGTCTTTGTTCCAGGACGACCACGAGATCCAGTCAAAACTCTCGTACGTGAATCCTGGGACCTCGGCTGGCTCGTAGAAGAAGAGAGAGTTCCGCACGGCGTAGTCGTCTTGTTGGATATACCCCCAGACTACATTGTTCACAAACTCGTCAATAATCCGAACTTCATCGTCGTTAGGGTAAATAGCTTGCTTGACACTAGCCGCGATGTAAGCTCCAGCTCCACCCTCGTCGCTAAGTCCGGGTACCCAGGCTCTGGGATCTTGTGTCACCATCGACATGCTTTGGCAATCGTAGGTTATAATTGAGGGCGCACGACCAAAAGGATCAGACTCATCGGTAAAGTGTGCTTCGGTCGTGAGAAAATGCCCCATGGCCTGGATAGTTTCAGGAGCGGGCTTCGTGATGTAGTAATGAATCGTCTGAACTTCTCCATCACGGTACGTCACAGTCACTCGCGCTCTACCCCAGGCAGCCTCTCCAGGCGTCAAGGTATAAGCAGCTTTTTTCGTCAGGGCCACACACAGCGATCCCTGAGGGTCGACAGAGATATTGGCAACGGGAGAATCAGCCTGAAGGAACAACCTTCCTAGCAGATCCCTAGGAAGAATGTAGCCCGGGATGCTGACGACTGTGGGGTGACCAGTCTTCCGGACAGTCTTGTCAAATCCCCGCACACCTTCAGGAACGACACTGAACCTTACGCCGAATTGAAGAGTTGAACCCGGGCTCAGCTCTCGCGAAGAAGGTGGATTCCAAGGTTGTGCCTTCTGAACAGCCCACTCGTTCTCTGCCCATGCTTTCGTGAGGACTTGCCATTCGTAGAACGCTTCAAACGTCTGAGTGCCATACCAGGATCCTTCGTAACCCCATTCTAAAAGATTGCGAGCTTCCATGGGTGAATTAGTGACGGTGAGGGCTGTAACAACTAAGGCTGGCCCTTTGCCTTTGATAGGGGTGACGCGAATTTGGCCAGAATCCATGCCGATGCACGGCTCAGAAAGAGAACAGGCGACCATGGCGTATGCAGGATGGTGATGCGTAAAAATGCTGTTGAACTCGGCAGGGAAGCCAAGACTGCCAATCTCAATGGTGGAATTGCCGGTTTTACTCAAGTTGAACCGTAGCGCGAGATCGCCGTCGAGGTTGAGCCATTCGCGAGTCACTTTGAGAGGTCCAGAAGGAAGCGTGGACGACAGATCCGCAGCGGCAAGGACATCGTTGCTCTGAGATAGAGCAATGATAGGCTTGCGCTGCTGAGAAGAGTCCCCATCAATCCAAGTTTTGTCGCCTTGAGTGCGATATCGATAGGTAATATCGCCCCAGTGGTATTGTCCATTACGGGGTCGGTTTCCCAAAATGTCAAAAGGAAGAAAGTCAAAGTCGTCTCCGATGGGCTTTAAAGATGCCAAAACCTGAGCGTCCCGCACGAATCGAGCTTTGAAGTTGGATGTCTCGACATCCACAAAGCCGTTGATTGTGCCAAGATCATCCTGTCCAAAGACGGTACCAAAGAAGATGATTAGATAGAGGTAAAGTAGTACGTGTAGCTGTGATTTATTCGTTTTTGTCATGGGTTAAAGTGGGCTGCGCTATAGTAGAAGATTGCTGTGGTTCCAAGAGTGAATGTAGCTCGTTGTATTACGGCAGGAAACTAATTACTTATAGAAAAGGGGACCTACGACACCAATGGAAGATTGGCGCGGATGACCTGTTAGCGAGTGGAGATGATGATCTCGTGGCGCGTCGCCAGAAAATAATACATGCGCACAAGCTGGATTTCGAGATCGCTCGTCTTGGTTCGATAGTGTCATACTGAAGAATTGGGACCAATGACTGCATCGTGGCGGTGAGAAATGATCAATGCGAAAACATATCTCCTCTAACCCTGTGGGCTCGGAAACCGCATTGTGCCGATTGGATCGGGTTCTTCACCTGTGTATTGGGCACCATGCAGGAATGATCATCTAGGAAGTGAAGGGTCGCTAGGTGTTGCACTTCCGTGAAGTCGGTATTAGGTTCTTGAGGCCGGAAACGCCAACTTCTGGTTGGAGCATTTTGGCGATCTGCCATGCCACACAAGCGGCCCAGACTGCATGCCTTAGATGGTTGCCAGTCTATGCGCTTGCGTTACACGAACTTCTTCTAAATTTGGAAGGAAAAGTTCCTGAGAGTCAGGCTTTTCAAAACGCGCGCTGGCTTGGAAACATCTTAGAACTGGCTTTTGTTTGGTGTAATTTACTGTTCGACAGTCAACTACGATAGGAGTTTTGTGAGGTGTCAGTTTGCACGACTGCAAGTTAGCTTCAAATGAAGAGGTATTAATCAGGAGTTTCGCCAGTGTATTTACAATAATGAGATGGTATCGCTAAACTCTCTCCAAGCACCGGCCACGGTATCTTGGCGCCACGCAGAACAGCCTCAGCTGTGTTTCACCCAGTGCCTCCACCCCCACCACCACCCCCACCCCCACGTCCACCTCCATTCCCCCGCCTGTCTGTTTCTTCAAAGTCAAAGTCCAGAAATGGAGCTCCAATTACATTCAAAAAGACATCGTAAAAACCGTCTGTGGCTCTAGCAAGTGATACTGCACGAGCAATTTAGAAGGTGCCATGAATTCCTGCCATCAAGAGTTTTACACTTCATCTGACGCCATATTCATTTATGTCGGGGCGATGCAGGCTTCGTAAGCCTTTTCCACCTAAGCGACGTCAGCTAATGACGATACTGCCGGAATGCAGCCAGGTAACATAAGACATGTTTGCAAATACTTTGGTGTAGCGTGACCGTTGGTCACGTCTCGCGATGCACGCCCAGGCGATAGATGTGTCAGGATGCTTCACTGTCAAATTCTATCAAGGGAACTTAGTTCGCATAAAAACAAAATAATGACTACTAGAATCTGCTTCCAAACCAACGGCACGGAATCAGTTGTCCCTGCATGAAACAAAAAGTAGTTCATATTTCGCATAACCAGCATAGAGTCGGACCACCGCCTACGCCGCCATCCAACTGGCCTGGAGACTGCCTGCTTTGCTTCCTCCACCACCATAACGCCGTCACTCAAGCGCATGTCGGCTAAAGAAAAACCTCCTCTTTCCCGGCTATGCCATCCCTCTCCCTTCTCTCAAAGACGTTTATCAGATGTTTGTGTCACACGTCGCGCGTGAGGATCATGGTAATCAAACAGCGACCGGCCTGATTCAAGGGCTTCTACCACCACTCAGGCTATGGTTTCATTGTACATTGTTCATATGACATCAAGGAGTCTGAGGGTGGTCAATACTTCAATTGCCTGGAGTGGTCTAAGTGGAACTGGTGATTCGGAAGTCAATTAAAACACAATTCGGCAATTGGTCAAAAAAAAAAGGTGGACTCTGAAGTTTGGAGCAAGGTATGGACTGCTTCAACTCCTTTCTCGTTGTCGGGGCTTCGTATTGCGAACCTCACTTTTCAATCCCATCGTCAACTTGAAAGACATTCACTCTCATGGGCAAGCGTATTATCTTTACAGGCGGTTCCGGCGTCGCTGGCCGCTGGGCAATCCAAGAGCTTCTACGCGAAGGCCACGAGGTGATGAATCTCGACATTGCCCCTCTCGACAACCCCGCAGTTCATACGATGAGGTGCGACGTCAGCGATGCCGGCCAAGTGTACAGCGCGCTTCACTCCCAATTACGGCTCAGCCAGCCTCTTGAGAAGTCTTCGGTTCCTGATGCGGTCATTCACTTTGCCGGATACGCCCGACCTCTGCTCGCTCCAGATAGCGAAGTTTTCAAGACAAACGTGAACAGCATCCACAATGTAATCGAGGCTGCATGCAAGTTAGGCGTCAAGAAAATAATCTTGGCGAGTAGTGTCTGCGTCTACGGAGTCACGTTCGCAGAAGAGCGTCGGAAATTCATCTCGTTCCCGATCGACGAGGAGGTCGACTGCAATCCCACCGACCCTTACGCACTTTCCAAGGTCGTTGGAGAAACTATTGCGAGGAGCTTTGCAAGTCGGTTCGGGGTTGATATCTACTGCCTCCGTATCGGAGCTGTCATTGAGCCTGAGAAGTATGCCGAAAACTTTTCTGGTTACATCAACCAGCCGGAGTCTTGGGATGTCCACGGATGGTCCTACATAGATGCCAGAGATCTTGGCCAGATGTGCCATCTTGGTATTGAGAGAGACGGCCTGGGCTGGCAAGTCTTTAATGCGACGAATAACAACATCACAAACACCGAAAACACAACGGCGTTCTTGAGCCGCATTAGTCCATCAACGCCTTTCACTCGGGAGATGGGTGAGCGCGAGGCCCCGATGTCGAATAAGAAAATCCAAGCCTTGTTGGGATTTAGGGAGGAACACCCGTGGACGAGACACATTCCCATCACCAAAAAGACTGTGTAAGGGACAAGCAAAGAGGATTTGTGAAAACGAGGGTCATTAGCCAGCGGCGATCATGTTACGCCTTACGCTGATTTCCACTTCAATTCTCATTGGTAAAAGACTTCTTTTGGCTGTTTATAACAAGATACCATCCGAGTTCCTTTGTGATGTTGCTATCTCCTGATATCTTGAGAAATCAAGAACCCGCAAAGTATGCCGGACTTATGCCCGAGTTGGTGCGGGGTTCACCCCCAACACTTAACAGCATGGCTTGCTCCACTGCACCGCCTTCTGAAGTTCCAACAAATCAAATCCGACCTATTTCGATTAGTCGTCACTTTTCTGTGGAGAGGCTCCATCAAAAACTGAGCTTTCTCTTCGTAAACCAACATTGCGTACATCTAGTAGTCTTTGATTAGGGAAACACTGATATCGTGAGGAAATCGGTTGGGTTATACCCAGACTACCCCGCACCCCACGTTGTGTGGATGTTTGTCTGTAGCCGAACCGACCAGGAAATGTTGGAACTGCTCATTATACCTCGGTAACTTGACTTTTTTGATATTCTGACCATTCCTCACTTGCAAAATCACTTTTGAGTCGATTGTCTTGGCCTCTAATCCTCGTCGAGTCGTTGCAGATCATTCAAGATGACTTCAAATTTCGATGCGGTTCATCCCGCTGCCGGAGAAGATCAAGGACACCACGACCCTCGATATGTCGAGTTCCCCATTGCGCCGAATGATGCCACCTGGGAGGATGGACAACCGGTCCTTAACAAGTATTCCACATTTCTCACTCGCGAACATGACTTCCCTGGTGCTAAGGAAAGACATCGCCCCGACTGGTATCTTCTGTGAATTCAGACTAACATCGGTGACTCTTGCAGGCCATGCTGTATGCTGCAGGAGTTCCCAACGAGGAGAGGATGCAGAGGAGTCCTCAGGTTGGTGTTGCTTCAGTATGGTGGGAGGGGAACCCGTGCAATATGCACCTGCTAGACTTGGGAAAGACCATCAAGGATGCCATTGAGAAGAAGGGGTACATCGCCTGGCAATACAGCACTTTGGGCGTGTCAGATGGTATTGCCCAAGGCAATGAAGGCATGAGGTTCTCTCTACAGTCACGCGAGCTCATTGCAGACAACATCGAAACCATCACCTGTGCGCAGGCACACGACGCCACTGTAGCCATACCCGGGTGCGATAAGAACATGCCAGGCTGCGTCATGGCAGTTGCAAGGCACAATCGTCCATCTGTCATTGTCTATGGAGGCACTGTTGCTGGTGGGTACTGCGAGGTGTTGAAAAAGCCCATCGACATTGTGACTTGCTACGAAGCTCAGGGTGCCTACCTGTTCGGCACGCTGGGCTCTTGGTCCGGCGACAAGTCTGTCACGCCCGAGGAAATTCTGTCATCTATCGAAAAGGGAGCTGTTCCCGGTCCAGGTGCGTGCGGTGGCATGTACACTGCGAATAGCTTGGCTACAATCATTGAAACTCTGGGTCTATCGGTCACTGGCTCATCGAGTACTCCGGCAGCTTCTCCAATCAAGATGAGAGAAGCAGTCAAGGTTGCTGATGCTATTGGAGTTTGCTTGCGTCGCAACATCCGGCCGAGGGACATACTCACCAAAGCGTCATTTGAGAATGCTCTCGTCATTACGATGGCACTAGGAGGATCCACCAACTCCGTTCTACATACTCTCGCAATGGCCAGAGCAGCTGAGGTGCCCCTAAATCTTGAGGACTTCCAACGAGTCTCTCGCAAGACGCCCTTCATTGCTAATCTGAAACCGAGCGGTAAATACGTCATCGAAGACCTCTTCCATATCGGTGGAGTACCATCAGTCACCAAGCTTCTCATTGCAGGGGGTCTCCTCAACGGAAAGACGCTTACGGTCACTGGGAAGACTCTCGAGGAGAACGTTACCTCGTGGCCATCTTTGCCACTTGAACAGGACATTATCCGGCCGCTCTCCGACCCCATCAAGCCCGCTGGACACCTCGTCGTGCTACATGGAAATATTGCTCCAGGCGGTGCAGTGGCCAAGATCACCGGGAAAGAGGGACTTCGCTTCGAGGGCGAGGCACGCTGCTTCAACAAGGAGTCCGAGCTTGTCACGGAGCTCAACGTCGGCAACATTCCGAGGGACAGAAACATTGTCCTTGTCGTCCGCTACGAAGGGCCGAAGGGCGGTCCCGGCATGCCTGAACAGCTCAAGGCATCCGCGACTCTGATTGGAGCCAACCTCAAAAATGTGGCGCTTATCACCGATGGCAGATATTCTGGCGCCAGTCACGGCTTCATCGTGGGCCATATTGTCCCTGAGGCAGCTGTTGGCGGGCCCATCGCCGCTATTAAGGACGGAGATATAATCTCAATCGATGCTGAAACGTGTACGATTAGTATGAATGTAGCTGACGCCGACGTCAAGGAGAGACTGCGTCAGTGGAAAGCTCCCAGGCCTCCCGTGACAAGAGGCACTCTGGCCAAGTATGCTCATTTAGTATCCAGCGCCTCAGATGGTGCCGTGACCGACTTGTTCTAGACTGGTCTGTAATGTACAAGCTACCGTATGCATTGAGTTTTTGTCGGCTTTTTGTTTGACCATGGTTATTGTTTCTCTTCCCAGACTGTCTGCGAAACCGTCTTCAGCTTGCCCATCTCGGGCACCTTAACGTGCGATTACAACGCCATCACGGGCTTCTCGCCGACTTGACCCCCACGATAGCCTCCACGTAGCAGGGTAATGCCACGATGCGGGGTTGGACATCCATTGTGAGATTTACCCCATCCAGCAACAGATTCTTCTGAGTCGTTAATGGCTCAGCTCGGTCAAGATTAGTTAGGTAGTTGATAAGATCGAGGCAGGTATATGTGGCTTTCATGACATCAATGTCCCATTCTGAAGTCGCGAGACTATGTGAACGCGGTCAGAAAAAGTATCTGATGACGGAAAATTGTCGCATCAAGTCGTAAAGGTGAGTTGGCCCATGTTCTGAACGTAAGGCCAGCCCTTTTCCGCCTAGAGCTCTTTTTACAGAATCTTCTACTCCGTACCTATCGCCCAAATAATTTCAACTCCAAATAACGAGCAGGCAGATAGGCCACAGCAGTAACAACAAGCGTCATTTCGTTGGCAATATCACCCCCAGATTCGCCAATCAAGCCGCCAAGAGGACCCACAAACCAAGTCTCGACCATGCCCATGCACCATGCGACCACCCCGATCAAAAAGGCGACACTAGCTCCGATGCCAAGAGGCAAGCGGCTCGGGTCGTTCCAACCATCGAGATCGTAATTGGCAAAGTCTCCACGTCGAAAGATGGAATGTTCCATAAGCAGGATGACAAAGTAGCTCGTGCACCAATAGCCCAGCAAGCTGAGGAAGTTTTGCAAATAGGTGTTTAGCTGGCTGCGACCACCGAGAGCCAGACCAATCACAATAGCAAAGCAGAGGAAAGTCCAAAGAAACCGGGGTATTCGGGCGAAAGGACGAGCCATTTGCTGGAATGAGATGGCCGCAGAGTAGAGGGAGATGATGTTGGTGTTGATGCCACTGAAGGAAAAAATGACGAGTAGAAACTTGGCGAATCCGCGCGGGTGCAGCATGTCTCGGATCAGGAATCCAAGACCCTGGTTCTCATATGCGTCTTTCCAGGCCGTCTGGTTGTTCAGGGAGCTGGCCGCCACGGCGCCGGCAGTCATGCCAATGGAGGTGGGAATGGCAATGCCGAGTGTCGTGAGTGCAAAAACTTTGAACCTGGATACATTGGTCGGGTACTGGACGTAGTAGTCGGACACCATGGTGGCCCATGATGCAGAACTTCCATAAACGACGGCAAGAAGTGAGAGGGCGCTGGCAGAAAGGTCGGCGCCCGTGACCTGGGCCGGCGTGACGTCGTCGGCATACGGGCCAACCATGTCAAAGATGATCATGAATATAATGAAGTAGGTGAGCCATGCGTAGCGCTCATAGATCAAGATGCAGCGCAGACCGAGAAAGCTGACCAAAAGAGATACGATGGCGATGATGATGACACCGACGACTAGCGAAATGCGACCATCGGCCACGGCGGTCAGAGCTAATCCGCCACTGATGGAACCGACCGATGCCCATCCAAGCTGTTCCAGGCCGTTCAGGAAGGCAATGAGTTTGTTTGGCCACCAGCCAAAGCTGAATCGTGAGACGGAGATTTGACGCAAACCGGTTGCTGCACCAAACGTGGCACAGTACCCAGACACGGCGCCGCCGAGGATGGAACCAAAGATGTAGATGGGAATGGCCCGCTGCAAATCAAGACCAAACTCCCAGCCAAGAAAGCCAGTGGCAAAACAGCTGATGCCCATGGTACCACTTGCCCACAGAAGAGCCATGGTCAGCTCCTCGTGCCACTTGACGGGCTTCTTGTCAGCGTCCGTCTTGCGGTCAATGGCATGCGCCTCGATCCCCAGGGCTTTATCCATTCTACCCTCAAAGCGTCGCAAAGCCGCCAGAATGCCGTTCTCCCTCGGAAGGTCGCCGCTGCCCGCCTCAAGACAAGCCTGGGGCGACGTCTTTTCGCCTCTGCCTTTCTCTTCGAAGCGTTCCATGGCGAAAGGCCGTCGTCGTGACCCGAATTTTCGTTCTCAGTGTCGATTTGGAGTAAGTCGCAAAAGGACTGGGGTTGACAAAAGCACCAACGGTTAAAAAAGACCCGGTCAATGAGGCTGCAAGTCTCTTGGCACAAACAGGCCGCCAAGGCGGGGATCTCACATTATATTGAATTGCCTAGCCGCCGCCCAGCCGGAGCACTTGTACGCATACAATTTTTCAACATTCTCCTGGTGGGCTCATCTTCAATGCTACCCACCTTCCCGGGTGGACGCCCTAACGCCTGGCGGAAGTGATTTGCGGGTTTCCAGATTGTCGCGTGCGTACCCCACACCACCTCACATCGCGCATTCTTCGTTGAGTCCAGTCTGCTTGGAGTAAGGCACCCTACAGTATCGACTTGCGGCGTATCCGTCCGCTGCTAGACACTAGAACTTCAATCCTCATATTTCTTTGATCTTCGCTTCCTTTGGTATCTTCCTGTTAAGCCCAACTCCTGTTGAATCTGACTTGGAAGGGCTCAAGCCGCGGTTGGGCGACTCTCGACTAAAAATATTCGGGTTATCCGGCATCAGCCCAAGAATTGGCGATTGAGGGCTGAGCGCCACTCATTCTCCAATATGTATATGAATGTTCAAAAAACACTTGATCGTCAGTCGAGTTGCAGTCGCACCGGCGAAGGCCCAGCTAGGTAAACCCGAAAGCTTACCCCGTAATTATGCAGGAGGGGGGGAAGGAGCTATGGGATACCACTATCTTCGATCCACTAATAGCTGATAGCAGAACGGCACAATGGCATGCCAGTTCGGGAGAGAAGTCATCTAATATGTGGTAACTTAGCACCTTGCGATATGAGGATTGCGCTTATCTGTGAGATGCCGCGCGGACAAGGCCGATTGTGGGGGCAATCCGGGTCTTATCTCGGCTATCACGGCAGATATTAGGTAGTTCCACTTCACGGAACTTTTGCAGCGTGTCCTGAGAGAGGCTGTGCGGTACGGATATGTCGGGCTCCATACCGTTAAGAGATTCACTTACGCTGAAATTTGAAGGAGGCTGGCCGGCTCAAAAGCTGAGCAGAGGATTATAGTAATCAATCTGTCATGCAGATGGCACATACGACCACACCCATTGGAAAACTCGGGATCCCGTCCGCTCTCCCATAGATACGTCAATGAGGGCCGGATTAGTAGTTGGGTCGCTGACGACCAGCGAATACCTGGTGTTGCATGTTTTTGAAACTGATTTCTGATCGAATTAACATCGGTACCTTCTCCTGGTCTATTGTCTTAGGGACACAGCTTCATGGGTACGTTACTCAACGAGTATGTATATGCTACAGAGCATTTGCACAGTATTTTATTAGACAGAGACTATAGATGGCTCAGCGCGATCATGATGTTGTTGGGTATCGGTTGGCATAAGAAATCTGTGGCGAAGAATGAGAGTGACAAAGACATGATCCCTTCTCTGCCTATTGCTATCCTTTACCAAGGCAGCCTTTTGGCCGACACGACGTGTTATATACACATCAATGTGTTATAGTTGTAGACGGGGAAATATACAGGGGAAGCCCATCGATTCCTCTGAAGTAGAGGTAGGCAAGGAACTGTTTGCTGTCCCTCGTTCCTCAATCCCTTTTCTCCTTACTTCCCAGTATCTCAACATCAAGAATCCAGGCACTTGGTGATTTTTGCTTCAAGTCAGCTGCACTATACGCCCAATGCCGGATGGTCAAATTCATGTAACTGGCATGGTCGTCACGTCACCATGAAGCACCAGAAGACGATGTCCGTACTGTACGAAAAGCCAGGTCTTCATTTTCTAATGAGACCTTAAGAATATGATACTAC